ATAAGGGGAGGGGGGTGATAGGTAGGTGTGTAATCTTCAGGTGATTCATATTAATTAATTTCATAACTTAAGTTTTCCTTATGATTAAGACATGTATAGATGTAACGGTGAAGAGTGTGGGTGGTTGGTGGTGGTGGTGGAGTATCCCCGTTAAGCGGGTGAACAAGCACACAACCATTTCCTGTCCCAGTAACCAACTCCCGCCAACCAACCCGCCAGCCAGCCACCCTAAATACCGCGCACCATTCACTCAAGCCGCTCGTCATTCCACTTCACAGGCCAAAAACATTCTTACTCGGATATTATTTATGATCAGTAACGGTGTTTTTTGTGAGCTTTTCCTGAGACTAAGTGTTGCGGTGAATAAACAGAAGAAGAATAAAAAGGAAAACTCGAAGATTGTAGTTGCGTGGATTCGCTGGTAACCGCAAATGGAGAATGATAATTACAGAAAACGGCGTCAGGCTTCCGCGTGGCCACATAACTTCCCACTTTCTCCTTTACCAGCCCCGACCAACCACCATCACACTCTCGCTCACTCTTCCCTCAGGCCCTGCTGTTGCTGTTAATCCTCCTGCTATTGTTGCTCTTGTTGATGTTTTTGTTTCTGCTGTTGGAAGTGCCTAGTTTGTGTTACTTTGTTGTTGTATTTGTCATTTTTGTTTTTATTGTTGGTGCTTCTAATGCTGTTGTTGAAATTGTAGTTATTGATGTTGATATTGTACTATTGTTATTGTAGTTATTGAGATTGTTGTTGCAGTTATTTTTTTGTTGTGGGTTCTTCCTGTTCTTTGTTTTCACTTTCCACTTTTATTTTTTTTTAATATCACAGCGGCCATTGGTTACTGCCACTGGTGAGAAAGTGCCGCGGTTCCTGCTGTGGCGTTAATGGTAATGTTTTTCTACCGGTCTTACTATGAGCGTTGCTGCGGTCACTGCTGGCATTCTAGGTAATGTTGATGTACTGTTGTAAATGGTGGTGCCTGATGTAAGTGGTGTTTGGATTAACTGTTGGCTGAATTAAATGGTGGCAGTGGTGGTGTCTGATGTAAATGGTGGCAGTGGTGGTGTTGCTATTAAGGGTGCTGACATCGCTAATACTTTCGGTGTTGTCGTTGTCCTGAAATAAATGTTGGCACTTCTGTTATGGGGTAAACTGCAGCAGTATTGAGGAGGGCTGCGCTCAACGACCCCTCCGTCACCTGGCCGCCTCCCACCACCACTATTTCAACACTCTCTTCGGGCCTCACTGGCTTCCCTGCTTTTCCGAATTTACATTATAAATTACTTCGAGGAGGAAACTCCCATGAATATGAGAACAATCCCCCAAAAGTCAGATATTCACTAATAAATTCTGAAACTCAGTTTTTTCCGAATTTACGAAGCATTCTGTATATATAAGTTGAAACTGCAAATAACCAAGTCTATATATAGATTAGTACAATTTTAAGAGGAAATCTAAGCACTTCAATAAAAATCAAAGATAAAACTGATGTGTCGAGGTAGTAGTAGCATTCCTGTATGGAGGCGTGAGGGCGGCGGGGTGGTGGAGTCCTCAGCAGGGGCCAGGACAATGCTCTGGACTGGCTGGTATGGGGCAACCTTGGCCAGACAGCTGCATGGACAGAGGCCACTTGTGACACATAGATCTACATTTGATACATGACACATAGGGTCCTATGACAAGGGGTTACTCTTCACTTTCATTTGACACATGGCCCCACCTTTATCACTCACATGACACATGGGATCTTGTGACATAAGGTTATTCACCATTCATATGGCATTCGAGGTCTGTGACACAGGACTATTCTTGATACTCACATGACACGTGGGATCCTGTGGCAGAGGGTTATCCTCCATTCATATAGCACACGGGGTGTATGACACACGAAACTACCCTTAACACACACGAGACACTGGGTTCCCTCCACGGCACCATGTAGTCAGTCACAACACGTCTCAAGGCTCCTGTGACGCACCACTAACAACACTTGATGGAGTTTCAGTGAGACAAAACTTATCAATGTCACTTGTTAAATCACTGGTATTTTATGACCACAGGAACTGACTGTTTGACAAGGGCAAAAGAATACATGTGACAGTAGCTCAAGTGTGGCTGTGAATGTCTGCATGATGGATGATGCCAAGTCATCCAGTTGAGTCCAGAGTGGAGACCCCGCCTGGCACCACAGCCACACGCACAGTGCCACATTGTAATGTCACACCACGATGTTACTTGCTGTGTCTCAGCTGCGAAAACTCGGTAATTCATAAGACCTTGCAGGCTTGTATGTGTGTGTACACTCGTCCGCATGTACAAGTTGCAGCATTTGGAGGAGAGCGTGTGTGCAGCCTTGCGGTAACGGGAGTGCCAGGGCCACGCCGACCTTTGTCGTTCCAAATGCACTGTATCAGAGAGGAAGTGCCAGTGCCGAGGACTGAGAATACTTCAGGTAAAAACAAGGAAGTAACACAGTTCCTGCTTCCGTCCTCTCCAAAAATGGTATCAACATGTTTATCCTTTACTGAATGTTAACAATGAACATGTTAAGGGGAAATGAGGACACTGGAAGCGGTTGGATCACTATCGACCGTAGCTACATCTTCACTTTTACTCCAGCTGTTTTCAGCTCTGGATTTGGTTCCATGCAGAGTCAAGGCCCATCTTCACACGCGTCGCCCCGCGCCTCGTAAAAACCTGGACCCGCTGACGGTGAAGGTGTCGCCCCCACCACCACCACTTTCCTCCACCACGGCCTCCTGTCTCCACTCTCTTCCACCACCACCACATCCTGCCTCCACTCTCTTCCACCACCACTTCCTACCTCTACTCTCCTCCATTATCATCTCCCAATATCCTCATACACTATAACATTTTCCTCTCTCCACATCCTCAGCCACCAGGCATTCACTACAACGTCCTGCCTCCTCCTCTTCTTTCACCACCATCAATACCTGATCTCGTAATCTTCCTTATCATCAAATTTCTTCTAATAACTGGTCTTAATAAGTCAACTGGGCCATGGTGTATCAATCTACCTTCTACTGTGTTAGTCTACCTTAATCTACCTTCTACTGTGTTATTCTACCTTAATCTACCTTCTACTGTGTTAGTCTACCTTAATCTACCTTCTAGCGTATTAATCTACCCATTTTCGTATTATTCTACCTCCCTATTCAATTCGAAATTTGGTAGATTTATTTCCAACATCAACTCGAACACGGTACAGTAATCTCCCTTAATAAGATGAACACGGTACAGTAATCTCCCTCAATAAGACGAACACGGCACAGTAATCTCCCTACCTAATGAGAACTTGGTGGAACAACTGTCAGTATTCCCCCTCAACAAACAGGTTCTTGGTCTGCTCTCCACTGTGGCTCGGGCAGGGATGGAGGGGGACCCTTGACCACTGACGTGACACAGAAAAGCCCAGCAGATGATCTAACCACAGATCTGTCGCTGCCTCAGTCCTTGTGCGTGCCACCACTCTGTGACGTAAGACGCTCAACCTTACGGTAAAAACTGCATAAACTTATTTTTTTTCCATCGACTAATATAGATAGACGACATACGCCAAGGTTACAGGGAAAGAGCAACAAAGACCTGCATATCATTATCTTTTCTTATGTTTTAGATGCAACTTATTCTACATTTACGCACCAGCCAAAATATCATGTAAATTGAATAAATCAACGTATAGTATGAAAAATCCAGAAATAATCATATAATACCGATATGAAAATAAATATGTTATTCATTTTATATAAATGACGACAAATTTCTCCCCACGAGATAAGATCGGCTCACTCAAGTCAGTGTTTTCTCCTCTGACAGTGGCGAGAGTTCGAACCTAGACCGCGAGGATCACAAGACTGCAGGAGAGACCACAGCCACTGCCCCACTACAGAGAAGTAGCTGTTCTTAACCCGTATTAAGTCAATATTTATACTCTGAAACTGTCTGGACGCCAAAATCGACCACCAATCATTCCGCGAAACTATGTAAAATTGAAGAATTTCACACCTGCATTATATTACAAAAAAGGTAAATTGTTCTAAGGAAATTCGTAAGTTTATTATGTAAAACCGGACTCTAAATGAAGGGAAAAAAAGTGTATGGCGTTGTGTTGTGGTGGAAGGAGAGTCAGTGGGTGAGGTTAGCACTGGGGCGACGAGTCCATCTGTTGCGCCTCCACCATCACACGAGGGAAGGCACCGTTATCCTGGAGACACACCTCCAGTATCGCCATTACATCTCTTATCACGGAGGTACACATGTTACTAACAGCGTCAGCCACCAGTGTTACGTCCTCGCAGTTATTGAGGAACCGTCCACAAGAATCTGTGACAAACCTGCTCTTTTACCAGCAAGGGATACAAACGCGTTGGCCTTGACTTCTTTTTTTTAGATGCTATGCCTAACAACTACAATAAACAGATCATGTGGATGCCAATGAAAATTCACATCCCAGGCCATTCCTATATGTAACTGCTGGCTGATAAGGGACTTTTAACATTTTAGAAGACACTGCCACTCTTCCATCTACGGACTTTTAACTTACTTGCATAATGTTCCGGTACAGTTTTCGGTAATACAAGTCTCCAATAAGTTTATATTGGTTTCAAATATTAGAAAATATTTTCCAGATTATCTGCCTCTATGACTGACTTCTTGTGATATATTCCTTTCAAGAACATTTGGGATAAGGGATAAAAGAATCCCTGAATGCTTCTAGATATGTATGAGAATTAACGGTCTTATAAATTGGGGATTTCACCTCTTGGAGAAATTCAAATACACTCAAACGTTGTATGTGATGAGGAGAGTGTGAAGAGACACAAGTGTTGAGAGGCAGGCCAAAGGGATGGCCAGTTTGACTGGAGAAGAAAGCACTCTGAGCCTAGGGTCCTCCTTCAGGAGCCTGCTGCAGGAGCCCCTGGCCCAATAAGAGGACGAGACAAGGGGTAGAACACCTTAGTGGAAAGAACAATACCTTGTGTAAGCATGGATGTAGAATGAGGGGGTTCAACTCTGATGTCCACCATGCAGGCGGTCCTGTGTGGCCAAGGGCAGGCAGACTGATGTATTCTCAACAATAGGCTGAAGCAACAGGTGCAAGTGCAAAAGCACAAGCACACTGCAAATTGAGCACGTGGTGTCACAAGATGGTTAAGGCACTACTGGTAAACACTGAGGAGAGTATACACGTCACTGAGCCACTCGGGCTACACTTGTGCCACAGTGGCACCACAACACAGCACACGGGAGGTCAGACACTGGACCAGGTAGTAGTGACAACACCGCAAGGGAACCTCCACGCGAGGCGGTGGTCGGGGAGAAACTGGCGGACCAGCGAGAGTCTCGGGTTCGACCCCCCGACCATCGTGGTCTCAGCACCGCCCATAGTTCGACGCCAGCTTTCTCTTTCATTGCGAGGATCCCGAGCCAACCCGCGGCAGCAACCAGTGCCAATCCAGACGGCCGCCTAGCCCCGCAACCTCCGCCTCCACGACGTTAACACCAAGACACACAACCCTCACCCTCTTTACCTGTCCTACGGAAGACACTTGACAACACCACCTCAGCTGCTAACACTCTTGGCCTTCACCTTATTGGATATTATAAGACAAAGAATGCTGACAAGTTGTTACAAGCAATTTCCTGGGGATAAAGTTCAAAATTAGGATCTCTTTAATAAGTGTGAGTACGAGGCGAGTGTGCGTGATTATATATCAAGGCAACCATGACACATCAAGGTGATATGATACAAGGAAACGGATAAAGCAAGAAAATTCCCCAATCACACCAAGGCCGGGAATCCTCTGAGGTAAACCAGTTTCTCCGCCACACCGTAATAAGGTTGTGTCACCATACACGCCTCCTGCAGGTTATTAATGCAAGCATTCTCACTCCTGTGGGAATAAATAGTATCGTACTCTGAAGAAAGGGAAAGTTTCATCACCAGGTAGTAAATTAGGCATAGAAAGGCGTAGTGGAGGTCAAAGCTGACGGGCGTAGTGCTACCCACTCCCTTCCATCTCCACCCACCTACGCCTGGCTGCTCTAACGCGTTCGCACAAACTGTGATCAATCATGAAAATCCCATTCCGCCGAACAAGCATCAGCTGCATAACACACAGCCTACCGCAGTAGTTGCGGGGCAGGTGGTGGTATGTGGGGCTAGGATGTGGTGTGAGAGGAGGGGAGGTGATGTGTGGGGTGAGGAGGTGGTGTGAGGGTCGGGGAGGTGGTGTGTGGGGTGAGGAGGTGGTGTGAGGGTCGGGGAGGTGGTGTGAGGGTCGGGGAGGTGGTGTGAGGGTCGGGGAGGTGGTGTGAGGGTCGGGGAGGTGGTGTGAGGGTGGTGTGGGGTTGGGGAGGTGGTGTGAGGGGTCAGGGAGTGGTGTGTCATGGAGGTCAGAGAGGTGGTGTGAGGTCGAGGTGGTGTGTGGGGTGAGGAGGTGGTGTGGAGGGTTGGGGAGATGGTGTGAGGTCAGGGAGGTGGTGTGTGGGGTGAGGAGGTGGTGTGGGGTTGGGGGTGGTGAGGTTGGGGTTGGGGAGGTGGTGTGAGGGTTGGGGGAGGTGGTGTTGGGGAGGTGGGTGGGGAGGGTCAGGGAGGTGGTGTGAGGGGCGGGGCAGTGGTGTGAGGGCAGGGGCGGTAGTGTGAGGGGCGGGGCGGTGGTGTGAGGGGCGGGGCGGTAGTGTGAGGGTCGGGGACGTAGTGTGACAGGCTGTGAAAAGTGTGAGCGGCAGTAAGACAGATGGAAGTGGGCCAGGAAGTGTCAGCATACCTCGGGCGGGACTTACCGCCACGCTGCACTAGTCGGGACCAGGCAGGCGGGTACTGACTTGCATTCTGGTGACTGTCAGGCTTACGACACGTCACGCCGGCAACAGGCTGCTCCTGCGTATAACGTGTGAGAGTAAACGTCTAAATTACAACACATGTAGCGGAAATTATTAAATTCTGAAGCATGAAGACAACTTACTCACGACGACCGCCTCGCACCCCCGCCAGGGTGTATGACGGAACAATAATTTTCTTCAAATATTCGCTACCAAGACCAAACCTGATGCCAACGACTTCTGAATCCTTAAAAGGAAGACTATGTATTTTTTTCAAGATCCACCACAATAATGACCTTTTCCCTTTCACGTTCATCCGTTCTTCAATAATTAAAATATATTATAAGCTCTCAGTCTAAACAAACTGACAAAATACTGAAGACTTTTACTTTCTTTTATCGATTCAGTTACTTTCACTCTGTTAACAGAGATTTAATCCAATTTCTATTCTAATTAAAAAGACAAAAGAGCTCTACTAAGTTAGTACTACTGGGCGTCAGAGGCGGAATTAATAAGAGAAATATCTACATAGTTATGAGGTTGGTCAGAGCGCCACAAACGTTTCCGTGTTAACCGTAGTCCTACACCGCCACCTGTCCACACTTTACTGTAATATAGCCTTCATGTACCCACCTATCTCATTAGTCAAGTTTGAAAACACGTAAAATATAATTACCAGGTAGTTAGTCCATTAAAAAAAATACTAATTATAATACATGAATATATAACACACATGATCCCTTGTTACTTATGTTTACATGAGTCTGGTGCATCATATGTGGTTCATGTGGATCACTGACATATGGCGTCACGAGAAGTCTTTATAATAATCACTATTTACGGTACAAAGTTTACACCTCCAAGTACAAGATCATGACGCCTTGGGTACGAAAACTACTGTAGACACATCAGCTAAGACCCCCAACACAATAGCAGGACCTCAAACACAATGCCTCGGATGCCTTCACTGACAGCTTAAACATTAACGTTATCTTAACCGTATCTTAACACTCATTGCCATATACTAAGTCACCCAAGATAATAAACATTGATTAAAATACTACATAAAATATGATAATGACGTCAGTCCAGAGATTGTGACCTCTTTCGTGTTGAAAAAAAATGAGCGTCAAGTATTTACAGAGACGCAACAGGACTGACAAATTTTCGTTGTATCTGTCCCATTCGGGTGATTACGGTTAGGTAATAAATGACCCCAGGTTTTGTTGTATTGTTATCATCAGTTTCATTATTTTTATCAGTACTATGATTTCCATATTATTATTATTATTATTATTATTATTATTATTATTATTATTATTATCATCATCTTCATTATAATCTTTGTCATTAAGAATACCGATATCATTACATTTATTTTATCAACATTATCAATAATACCATTAACGTCAACCTTACCATCATTATTGTTGTTCTGTTATTATCACCGCCCTCACCTTGGTGGGAGGACACACCCCAGTAGTGGTGATGTCATTATATTATGAAGTAAATAAGAACGGTAGTGACTGATAGGCTGGTCCCGCCCCCACCCACCTCCTCACCTCCGGTAAGTGCGGGTTGTGACGCTACGTCGTATAATCTATCCCCCTGGTTGCTGTACCTGGACAACCAGACATGAAAGATTGACACACGAAAAAAAAAAATACTGTTGGATGCGTGTTAACAGTGGCCGTTATACACCAGCATTTCAGCGCTGGATAGGTATTTTTTGTTAAGGTGAAGGCAAAGGTGGAGGGACGCCTGACTGGCTGCAGGTGTGACCCTGGGCACATTAATGCTCTGTGGCCACACTCACTGTGTCACTCACTATTATCGTACCTCCAGTAATGCTCTTTAACACACTTTATCCAAAACACCATTAAATGTTTTAATAATGGCGCATCACCAGTCACAAGTTTATGTGATGACCAGAGCCGTAAACTTGTTTGTGGAGTCAAGTGAGTATTTCATATATTAACGTGTTCTTTAACTCTGTAAAAACTACCGGTTGTACAATATCATCTGCCTGTTGAATGTTGCAAGGCTTCCACCATCACAGTCACACACACTCACGACGGAGCCAACACACACTTAGCAGTCATAGCCAAAGAAGGTTGACTCCGTCACCAGATCTAAAGCTACATCTCGTGAACCCATACCAACTGCAAGTCTATTGGTGTACGGCTGTGATAACCGTGTTGCAGCGCTGCAAGTGTACGGTTGCTGAGTACATACCAATAGAGGAGTTTTTTAGGGTAATTATTCCAACTCAGAATAATAGATCAAACCGTCAGTACATGATGTTAACTGTACATTTGATAACTGATGGTCTTAAAGATTTAGAACGATTCAATTATATATAATTAACAATGTGTTGAACTATACCATGTTGCATTACTGAAGGCACAAAAAAGTTAAAACGGGAATGTTGTAGCCGCACCCTGCAGCTGCCTCAGTCCTCACTCTCCTGAAGACACTGTACGCTCTTGCTTATGTCGCTTCACATTGCACTACCGTTCTGACGCTTCCAGGCACCCAAGTTTACACACACACACACACACACACACACACACACACACACACACACACACACACACACTTAATCAGAAAGGAATATACGACAATGACTACCCTGCAATCACTTCGCAACAACGTAGAGAAGAATGAAACGTTCTGCTGCCTGGATTCTTGCCCGTGATCACACGAGAATGGTTTCCTTGCTTCACTTCCTCCTAACTCGTCCCGCCGCCCCGGAAGTTGTCCACCTTAGTTCCGTAATTAAATTAAATACTAGCGGCAATCTCAGGGCTTCAAGTAACTTAAGGTAACCAATACGTGATGTACTGCCCAGATTCTTCATGGGTCATATTTTTTTTTTCTCAAACTGAAGTTTTAGGAAGGTATATGATAGTCTCACTTAAGCTGAGGAACAATACTGTTACATTAACCTGCACTAAGAGTCTACCGTAATAACATACGTTCTCTTATTCCCAATTATGATCAACCAACACACGAATCTTTGGGACACAGGACCGTAGTAAGTACCAGCAACGGTGACTGCAACTGTGGTGTGGACGCAAGACTTGGGCTGCTCAACTTGCTGCCCCAGTGGTCTACCGGTCATCCGGCCGTGGCAAAAAGCAGGTTTGGTGTGGGATAAAACTGGTGTCATGACTGTGGGTAGCATGTGTCGCCCGCGGTGTAAAGAACGTCTTACACTGTTGTGAGGGCTAGACTAAACACTCGCCACTATATATAGAACACTTACGTAACTTGGATATCGCTGTACGGCTTTACAAGAAAAAATGCAACTTGTTTTTACTGACGTTTATCAAATGAAGAACAAATACAACTCAGTGTACAAATGAAAACAATCTTCCTTGAGGCTTAGTTCAGGTACAAGTAAAACGAACATTCTAATCTTAAAAATCACTGAAACATTAAAGTAATTTAAATGGTGAAAGTACATATGATTTTGGACTTGCTCCCTCACTCACATACAGTACAT